AGGACGAGTCCCGTAAGGAGACGAACGGAAAGGACGAGTCTCTCGCACAGAGGACGGACCTGCGACCGATGTCACTCGGAGGGATGGTTTGTAATGGTTATGGTGCCATTACACTTGTGGACCTCTCCCTCCCTCCCCCTCCTCTCCCATGTTTTAAAATGTATCGGGCCCATACTCACTGCTTAGAAAGAACTGAACCAAAATCTGCATGTTTCCAAGTGACTTTGAAGGAAACGCTCGCCCCGGCGAGACGCCATCGCCACCAGCACTTGCTTGGCAGGTGAGAAGGAATTCACAGCACAGTGGTGAGCTCCAACGCCACAAACGAGGCCCAGAAGACGTGCGCGACCGCTCCTAGGTCAGCGCCGTCTCTGTCGGTCTTCATAAATAACAACGTGACAGCGGCGTGTAGCGCAAAACCTAGCTTCAGCTGGAAGCTGAACTTGCGCGCCGCTCGTGTAGCTGGCCGGCAGGGCCGACGGCGGCCGCCGATGAGGAGTGCGATCGCCACTCGCTACGCCCCGCCCCCGCGTTCGACCATTAATTCTGAGGCGGCTGGTCGGGCGGGACCCACCATGGCGCGGCGTGGCTGGTGTCAATCAGGGCGGACGGGCCTCTCCCTCGCCCGCCCCGGCCGCGCGCCGCCTCCATCTCACTCCGGCCGGACGGCGAAGCGAGTCAGCCTCCCGCCCCGCTCGGACACCAGCGCAGAACACCGGCTCGGTCACCCGACCCGGCAACGGCGGGCCGGCGGGAGCGGCCGATGGAGCGAGCGGAGACCGTCCGGCTACGGCGGGCCCGTTCAGCGATGTGGTGCCGGCAGCGCTGTCCGCGCTCCCGTGCCGCGAGTGCGGCGGCGGCCGGCTTGTCAGTCCCGCCTGACACACTGGCGTCAATCGCGCGCGTCGTCGCACGAAACATCGCCGACAACATGGGAATCGGCGCGCGCCACAAACGTCGCCGCCGCGCCGAGAACGGCCCTGCTGACCGCAGCCGGCCATCAAGCGCTGTCCAGATGGCAGTAAACCGGACAGGTTTCACCAATGTATCAAAACCGCGCGAGCGCTCCGTCCGAGTTTCTCCAGCGATCCGCGACGTGGTGACGTCACAGCGCGCGAGTGCTTGCGAGCGCGCGGCAGGCTCGCACGTCGACTGGCGCAAAAGCGCCGCTGACGCCGCCGCGCTGTCGGCCGCAGCAGGGGCGCGAGGAGGCCGGCCAGAGGACGACGAGAGCGAGCAGAGAAGCGGGCCGAGCCAGCGAGCGCGCGAGCGGAGCGGGCGGAGAGCTACGGCCGCGGCCGGGCCGATCTCATCAGCGGCCCGACGCGGGCGCGGCCGACCAAAGCCTTTCAAGGCAGCCCAACCGACATATTCTGATTATATCCAGGTCTGCCAGAGAGCGATCGCTTTGCCTGCCTGCACCCAGCTGCGTCGCCGTCACACTCCGGCAGATAGCCATCGTCGTTCATGGCCAATTTGAGAGTGGTCCGAGGAGTGGCACACGCCCGGTCGCCGGGCGTCCTGCTCCGGTCACGGACAACCGGACCGAAAGTGGCCCTGCTCCGTCGCGCGGCGCTCAGCTCACGGGGCTCGCATCTGCAGGCCGGGCCGCGCCCCGGCCTAATATATAGACCGTGGGCAGAGTCCCGTTGCAGGACCGTCGCTCCGGATTTTACGATAATGACATTTAATTCTTGCGCAAGCGGCGTCGCGGGCGGCGGCGGCCTCCGCGAGATGGTGGCAGGGTCGCTGCGCCGGCGGATTAACATGCTAAAAGCGCCACACAGCAGCCGCTCGGCAGCCGGATGACCCACAAAGGGGCACGCCGGCACCTCTGCGCCGGGCTCCGTTCTCACGGGCCGAGCGGTGACGGCTGTCGCGATTGGCCGACATGCAAAGCTCCATCTGATTGGCGGCCGCCAGCTGACGCGCGGTGCACCTGCCGCGGTCGGCAGCTCGCTTGGTAACCGATGTCCGCGCTGGAGACACTGTTCCGCCGCTCCACAGCCGCTCGGCCCGGCCGCTGACGCCGGCCCCGCCTCTGCTGACCTGACGCTTTTGTTCCGCTTGTAATGTATGTGTAGCACGCCGGTGCGTACTCGGCTAACAAAAACATCACCTTGAGACTGCTGCCGGGCCACGCCTTCCACATTCATTCGGTAAAAACCGGAGGCGGGATTTTTGCACGGCGCGCGGCGGAGACGTGTCGGCATCTGCTGGCGGTCGGCGTTTTTACCACGGCGCGGTGCGCGGGCGTCATAGGCCGCCCGGATTGTTACTGCCCCCCCCCCCCCCCCTATCCACACGCTCCACTACCACACCATCACCACTCGACGAAAACATAAATACCCGTCCGATGAATCAAGAGGCGCCGCGGTCGTTCCCGGAACGCAGTTACACCGCGTAATGAGCTCCGCTGCGCGTTCGGCGTACGGGCCGCCGTCATCAGCGGAGGTCACTCAGACAATTTCCGCCGCGACCTCCGCCGCGGCGTGACCCCGCGCCCGCGCCAATGACGTCACCCCCTCCCGCGACCCCCGCGCCCCGCGCGCGGCCAGCGAGCCGGCCAGGCGCCGATCCGAAATCGATTAAAATTCGCGTCAGCGAAAAGCCTGGGAAAGCGGCGTCCCAGCAGCGGGCGTAATTAAATCGCGCCAGACCGCTAATCGTATCGAAAGACGTCGCCGCGCCCTATTTGGCCGCGTCCAAATACGCAAACAGTTACACTTTTCCCATGCAAATGCGCCTAATGACGGGTGCGTTTGCGGCCGCGCGGCGCACCCACTCTAAGGTTGATGCACCGAAAGCCGTAATCACGTGAGAACTCGACGACCGACGCACACCGGGCGAGTGACGTCACCTGTCCGTCGGCTCCGTTCGCCGTCTATGAAGGGCTTCGTACACACGGAGCGTTGGTTCTCATAGTTTGGAACGCCCCGTTGCTCGACAAAATTATGCCCCTGTCGTTCTCATGCAGAGCAGAAAACGGATGTTTTCACGGACGACGCCGGTTGGACGTCGCGCGGGATAATTGAGCGCCCGGATCGATGCCTGGTTTGTTTGCGCTGAGTTCGATGGGCAAAGAGCGTAGAAAAAGAGAAACGCGACAATGTACACCTGTCTGTCCGCTCCGCTGGCTGCTTAATCTGCTGGAATAATCACGTCTAGATTGAACTAAGCCCACGACAAATCCACTCCAATCTCGGCGATCAGCTACGGAACATTCCTGTTATCCTATACAAACCAGGACGCTCCCAGCAGCAACCGTTCTTAATAAGCATCAACCATCCCATCCTATAAGTGAGCGAACGGCGTAAGGTTTGGTGCTTCGTAGCCCTATTAAACTGCATCGGAAGCACTTCATGGTTGCTTAAAACTGTAGCAAAAGCTGCGATCATGCAACCTGTGGGCTATGCGTGACATTATCAAGCGGCCTTTGAGGAGTGCAGTTTTTCCGCTGAGGGGCTTCAGACCCGTCGGTAACTTGTGCTCCAGTCCCCCAGAATCAGTTTCGGAGAATTAAGTGGGTCAATGCCGGTACGAGACCAATTTGTCGTCATCTTGCGAGACAGGTTTGGGCATTTTTCAATGTTCAGTCCCGACCCGTTTTGCAAAACTACGTCTCTGCGTCGTTTGAACTCTGCTCTCTTCGACACAAGCTATGCACTCTTATAGATTTCCATACATATTAAGGTGAGCAGCTACATCACAGCGGTGGACCATTCTACAGCCTTCGCATTTGCATCATGCCCAAAAGTCCGCCGTTGTTCCTTCGAGTATGTCCTCTCACACCCTTGACACACCTTGACCACTGCATTGGCGCTGCAGCAGCATCCGAGTCCGCCTCGCTCACCATCTGCTATCCCGCTGCGGCCTGTTCACACGACAGCGGGCTGAGTACAGGCGCCGATAACAGGCCGGACAGGCGGTGGCCGGCCGGTGACCGTGCCTTCCGACCCCGGCACCGCCGGCCGCCGCCGTCCCGCGACGACCGGCCGCGTCGCTTTACGGCCCGGCGCGCTCGTAACGCTCTCCGGCGGCGGCGCGCCGGCGGGGGGCGCGCCCCGGTAGCGGTCACACGCGGCCGGCGGCGGCCCCGGCGCGGCCGCCACACAGGCTGGCCATTGTGGCGCGGCCGCGGCAGAAGCGCGGCTGCATGTCGCCGACCGCGCGCCGGCCGCGTGTCGCCGTAACTCACGTTTTACGCCCGGCCAGGCGGTAAAACCTGCAGTTCGGGTACGCGCCAACTGACAACAATCAAACGGCCTCAATATAATGGAGCACCATTATCCATTGAAGAGCGACGGTAACAAAATGGTTTTAATTTCCGCGTCCCGTCGGGCCGGCGTCAATTACGTTTACTGCCGGCGTTTGTGTTGTAGCTAGGCACTGGGCAAGTGTGCCGTGAGGCCGTGACGTCAGCGGTGGATTTTACGCCACACTGCAGGATGGCGGGGTCAGGCCTCTCGGAGCCACCAGCCTCAACAGCCTTACCACACGCCGCGGCGCGCCGGCAAGTCACTGCACGCCAGGACCAGCAAGTCACAGACAAGGCGCGTGCGGTATGAAATTCTTATGCTCGAGGAACAGTGCGTGATTCACGAGCGTGAGTTAGCTTTGGTTTGCCTCGTCAGGGTGCACTGCGCCATGCACATGAGCACGTCAGCCGTGACGCATACCCCCTCCCCCCCCCCCCCCGCCTGAGCGACCTCTGACCGGACGGCGGCGCCACTGATCAGCCCGTCGCCGTCCACCGAATCGCGCCCAGAAAATCGCGGGAAAATCGCGGGTGGTCTCCAGCGGTCATGCCAGAGCCAGTCATGCAGCGTGTCGGGACCGCAGCGCTCGATCTCGCAGCGCGCCAGCCCAGCGCGGTTGACCGGAGCACCGCGGCGGCCTGCTGCGGGCTGCGCGCCGGCTCGCGCCGCTCCGGACGCCGGCCGCGTGGACGGCGGCGTTCGCCCGGCGCGACGGCCGGCCGTCGGCCCGCGCGCGCTCACCTGTCCGTCGTCCATGGTGTGGATCGGGTTGGGGATGACGATCGCCTCCTGGCCGTCCAGCACGTGTCCGGCCCGCATCAGCACCGTCTCCGGCCGCGTCATGTACCGTGACGTGTCGTACATGTGCGCGTTGGCCGCCTGAAACACCACGCGCGCCCGTCAGCCGGCGCCACCGATTTATCGCTGATAGGGGCGCATGCCGTCGCTGAAATGGTCAGTGGTACAAATTGCGCGTCTGTTGGTTATGTTGGCAAGCACGCTCTCCACGAGAACTTACGAGAGGGGAGCACTCACGACGGGTCAAGACAGTAAGACATTGAATCATTGGTGCGTTAGATTACATACAATGCGTAACATTTTGCATTCCCACTTGCTAAACGTTACTAGTTTTCTGTTTTGAAGGGAACACCGTTCTGCCCGTCAGCGTAACTAGCTGGACAGCAGCGGACGGTGGTAGGCGGTCGGTCAGAGCGCCGCTGCCGCCGCCTCCGCCGCAGGGCACCAGCTGAGCTCGTGCCGGCCTGCGGGGAGGACCCGGCCAGCCGGCTAAGACGCGCAGTTCCAGCCGGCCCCGAGCACCGCCGCGCCAGCTGGCAGCGGAGGCGGGCGAGACGCCGGCGGCCAGCCCGAGGGCCGGCACAATACTCCCACGACGAGCGCTGGGCGCTGGTGGGTCACGAGCCGGGCGACGTAGTGGCTCCAGCGCTTGGAGCAGCCGGCGGCAGCTCCCCGGCTAGACTCCAAGCCAGACATCGCCTGATAAGATCCCAGTGGTGGACCTCGGTGAAATGGCAGGCTCTGTCGGACAACTTCCGTGGATTCACCGCTTCCAGACCCGGCCCACGTGAAAGGAGGGGATTCCCCGAGAGGCCAGCCCGGTAGCGTGCCCGTCTGACCGGCACTGTGCGAGTAGTTCCACGAAAAGCCGGCAAAGCCGGTCGGATTGCCGCACTGACTCGGATTGCGCTCAAACCGGGTGAACGAGACATCGCTACCGGCTTGACTAGCTCGGCGCGAAACCAGATGCTCGCGGTGGCTGGCAAGATGTCACCAAGTGGAGCTGGCCCGCCTGCGGACCGGCCGGCTGGTGCGCGCGCGGCCGCTGGCGCCTCGAGTGCGCCGGCGGCCGGCGGTGTCCAGCTGCGCCGCCGCCACGTGCCACGCGGCCTGTCAGCGGCCGGTCTGCCGGCCGGCCGGCGTCCATTCATTCGCCTTTTTAAGCGGTGACCCGACGGCCGACCCCTGACCCCGGCCGGCCAGGTGGCGGCTTTTTATGCGGGCTTACATAACGACTGGAGGCGTCTCGGTTGGCACGTCAGCGGCTCGCGCGACCCGCGCAGCGTGCGGCGCTTCCCAGCCGCTTTCGATTATTATGCTGCGCTTATTTGCAAGTCTGTCAGGACAGGGCAGGTGGGGTGGCGTCAAGATATGAGAGGTCAGCAGTCAGTGACAGGGTTTATTTTTGTGAGGATGTTACTGAAGCTGCACCGTGTCTTGTTCAAGATTCTTGGGAACGCAAAATGTTGCAGGAACAGCTGGGACACACGGAGAGCACGCGGAGGAGCGAGTGCCACATTCAACAGGATAAAATAGCTGTCTCACAACAGATATCGCGCACAGCAGATGTACCTGTTTTGCGCACCGCATGACACATAGAAAAACATAGACGTTAGCAGCGCATCCGACGTTTTCTGCCTTGCTTCGCTCCTGTAGGTCTGCCAGCTGGCTCGAAATGGCCGTTAACTGGTCGTTGTTCAGCGTTCCCCTCGCGCCTCAGTCGCGATTGATGCCACGCGCCCGGGACTCCACAGACACCATTCTCCAACTGCTACCGACATCCTCCCTTCGACGGGTGCCGACGCCCACCTGACGGGAAGGCAGGACGGTGTCGGCGCCTGGTAGGTGGCGCATCCCTCCCTCCGCGAGTGCATCGCGAATGTATCGCGTATGCGACGGACGTGCATGTGTGGACCACCCTCCTCCGACGGGCGCGTGTTGCGACGACCACCCTCCTCCGACGCGTGCGCGTGCGATGCCTCCTGCGACGGGTGCGCTGCAGCCGGCCACTACCAGGCGGATATTTGCAGAGGCCGCGGCTGCCCCTGCCTAACCCGAATCCAATTGCATGGCAGGCTGTGCAAATAGGCCCAATTGCCGCGTGGCTATTTTTCTACCGCTATCGGCCGGCCGAGTGAGGCCAATGCTTCGCCACTTGGGAACGGCCGCGTCACGCTCTCAAATAGAAACTGCGGCGACGAAGGCAGCCGTATTCAACCGGCGATCCGACTGGGCGTTTGTCCAGTCAGAATGTGTATGCGCTCTTCAGGCCGGTGCGCACAGCGAGCTGATAATCAGCTCTCGACGCGGCTCGACGAGAGAGGCCTGGACCGGCCGAACGGGCGCCGCACGCAGCGCTCGCACGCCGCGCCGCACGTCGCATACATGCCCATCAGGAGTGTGATCCCTTCATCTCGCCGCTCGTAATTTACCTAATTAGAATGCCGCGACCGACGCGCATCATGAAGCACCGAATTTAGTCGCATCGTTCATATTTATAACGGGCGGCACGATCGGCTAGCGGCGCGTTCCGGGGCTCAGTTATCGGGACATCAGGGCGGCGGAACGCGTGAGGAGCGGCAGGCGCACCGCTGACGGCCTCGGGCGCGGCTGCCAGAACAAGCTCATCTGCAACGGCCGGCTCGAAGGAGCCTTGGACGCCGGCAGAGGCGGCTCCATCTGCAGACCACTTCGTCTTGGAACAGCAGGGCGGGTCGGATCCGGTCGGGTCGGGTCGGGTCGGGTCGGGTCGGACCGGGGCGGACCGGGGCGGACCGGGCGGACCGGGCCGGGCCGACCCGCGCCGGGTCACTCACGCTGACGGAGACGGCGTCGGGATCGGCGCGGCGACCTAGCGCCGCCGGGTAGCCCTGGTGCTGCAGGCTGTTGCCCAGCTGGTATGCCACCTCGCTGGGGTTGACGTGGTGCAGCTGGAATTGCTCGGTGGCGGCCGGGTTGTAGGGCGGCGGGAAGTAGGGCGGCTGGAAGTCGGTGGAGGGCGTGTGCGCCAGCCGGCCGGAGCTGCTGAACGTCGGCGAGCCGGCCAGCGATGTGATCGGGCCCATGCCGGACGGGTGGCTGCCCACGCGCTCCTGCAACACAAGGCGGGGCGACGCGTCAGACGGAGACCGACCCGGGGCCGCCAGCGCGGGCGCGCCCCTCGCTTCCAACACCCGGAGAGCACCAACGGTGTGGGGACGACACAGTCATCCACACAGGCCGGCCGTGACCGAACATACACTACACACATATTATATAGCGTGCTTGAACCGCGCACAGCGGTTTCGAGCGCATCTCTGCAACAACGCCGCAGCGTGAAACTCAAAATATCGACTCATTTTGCGGCACAGAAACGCTTACATGATGTGATGATATCGGGTTAGCAAGAAATCGCCATCTATATATATATATATATATATATATATATATATATATATATATATGTATATATATATACATACATATATGTATATATACACATGTGTGTGTATGTATGTATGTATGTATGTGTATGTGTATGTGTATGTGTATGTGTATGTATGTATGTGTATGTGTACGTGATATCGATGCAAATGAAGACGGACACTGTCGTATAATGTGCGTGACGTGAAAAAGTCTCAAGTGGGCCAGAATTTCGGGAGGCATTATGAGACGATTGACGACGATGATATTTCATTATAAGACGAAGGCGTAACTTCGGCGCCGCACATCTTCCATCACGTGCCGCAGGACCCACCTCACGGCAAACGGTATGCACGGTGACCGCAAAACGAAACCCAGTGACGCAACGCGGGTCCCGTGATTAATCACAGCGAAAGGAGCTGCTCAAGGGAAATGACCCGTGCAAAGACACATAAGCGGCTAGCATTCCAAATGAATCGATGTGGTGAGCGGGTTGCGCCGGCTCGTGTGATCGCTGGCAACGCTCTGGCACGCCGCCTGAAGCCAACAGGTGGTCTCCGCCTGCAGCAGACCATTAGCATGGACAGCAAGCGCATGCAAAATCGGGGTCATTCTCTGGCAGAGACCAGCGATCTTGGCATCTGCTTGTCAGTATCTTGCGCTGTTTTTCGGAAAGCGCAAACGACAGCGATAACGCAGATCGTCAGCAAATAGTCAGCGTACTGTCGCGACGGCCAACGAGTTCTCCTGGCCTGGGGCCACTCGGCTGTAATTGTGTGGTGCTGTGTATGCAAACCGCCTGCTTGTTTCCCAGTCCTGGCTATTTCCTGCAAATGTCGCTCAGGCACGAAGCACCGAGCCCGGTAATCGGACCCTGCACGAGTGAGAGAGTTGTCCCAGCGGTCCGCAGGCGGTCGTCTCGTGCTCTGATGGTCACGAAGCCATCAGCCGCCGCGTCCGCAGTGCCCCTGCAGCGACGGTGTCCAAATGGCGCTTGCGGCAAAACCGCCAACAGGCGGCAAAACCGCGCCATGGGGTGACGCCAGCCAGCCAACACGTCCCGGATTCGCCGGACGTGAACGGCGCCGGCGCCCGCCAGCGGCCCCCGCCCTCCACAACAGCCGAGCCGGTCCTGCCCAGAGGTGCCGGCTGCGCGACCGAGCCAGCCCGGCCGACCTGCCAGTGCCCCCCGCCCTCCACAACAGCCGAGCCGGTCCTGCCCAGAGGCGCCGAGCTGCGCGGCCGAGCCAGCCCGGCCGACCTGCCAGTGGGCCCCCCCCCCCTCGCGCCGCCGGTGGGTCTGGTGGGACCGGTCCGGGTCGACTGCTCCATCCCCTGCCGCCCTGACTTGGCAAAAAGATTACTGTTTACGACGGCGTCGGAGGGGCCGGCGTGGAGAGGGCCGCCGTAGCCGTGACAGGTGTGCCCGCCGCGCCGGCCTGGCCCAGCCCGGCCCAGGCTGGCGCGATCAGATAGGCCCGCCCGATCCAGACGCCGCAGTCAGAAATGTTTAAAATTTATGAGCTAGCTTGTGACGCTTGTCGGCTCTCATATCGGCGCTGCCGGACCGGAGAGCCCGCCACTTCCCAGCACGTTTCCCAAATGTGTGGAAAAACGGCCGGCCCGGCTCCCTGCCCGACTGTGGACTGTTGTCACAGCGCGCCGAATTCAAAGCGGGTCACCAGTCGAATGCGAGCAGCTCGCGTTCCCAAATAAGGCCCAATAAATGTGCTCTTCGACCGGGGCAGAGGGGAGCGAGCGCGCTCGGCTGCTGCGAGCAGCCTGCAGATGCCCTCCATGAGGACGGCGTGCGTCGAGTCGGCGGCGCTCCCGCATCGGGCGGACGCACCGGCGCCCGGCCATCACCCTCGCCTTTCATCGCGTATTCCAGCCGCGTCAGTATCAACAGATCGAAAACCAATCAATATGAAATCGCGGCTCATTAAATAGAGACAGGGTATGGCGGGCCGCGGTCGGCGCCCCGCCGCGCCGCGCCGGCCAACAGCGCCGCTAATCCCGGCGCGGTCCGGCCGGCCGCTTTTATAAATAACACCTCGCCGCGCCCCGCTGGGCGGATCGCGAACATATGCTTTACCAAGCATACATCAAATTTTCATTTGCAGCTCTGTCGCGGCTCGGTTATTTAGCACAGGCCGTGTGCACCAGTAACGATGGGCTCGGCGCCGCGCTGTAAAGTGCGCCTCGCCGCGGCGCGCACTATAACTTTATCCCGTGCAGGGCGCGCGGCCCGGTGGCCGCGTCGGGTGGATGGCGGCACGGCGGCCGAGCGGCCCGTCAGCCTGCGAACGGCGCGATTCAACCGAACGTGATTCATGGGTGCGATCGTAAGGGGCCTCATGAGCTGCAGGTGGAGCCAAATTTATGGGCAGGCATACCAGTGTGTCAATGAGCTCGTTATGGCCCAGTGCGAGTCGGACGTAGACGGGTTGTTAAATGAATAAGACTTTTAGCTGAATTTCAGTTGCGAAAGCAGCCATCAACAACGATTAACAACCGGGGGCTCCTGGCAGGAATGGGAGCCCTCCGTTCGCAGATGGTTATGGTTTGTAAGAACATTGTTTCAAAGGAAGTTGTCTCCTTGACAAATGATTCACGCGCAAGTGGGTGACACGCGCACGAATGCGACGCAGAACAATGCCGCTGGTTTCGTGTCAACAAATATGATGTGCCGCCGATACCCCGGGCGTAAAAGGAAGGGTTTTGTTAGCTGCAAGAATAAGCTATGAGCGATATCTCTACCGATGACACACATAAATGCACAGTGATGCGCATGGCCAAATATTTTTCCTCAACTAAATGAAAACCTGCGTCAAATATCAAAATCCTAAAATAATCCCAGACCCAAGCGCGTTTTACCAGCACCAAGCCTCCGGATATTCTTCGGTAGGATGATAGCGCAGGAACACAACCCGGGTGGAGCAAAGCTCCGTGACATGGCTCTGAGCATTCACAGTCTGCGTATGACACTGCGCCTCTTGTTTTATGTTGGTCTCACCTCATTTACTGTTTTTCTTGTAGAATTCCTCCATTTGCAAGACAGAAAGCACTTACTATTATGAATCTGTGCATCCTATCATCTCACATCTCTTCTCTTGAATGGACTTGTGGAATTTTTAGACTGCCTGACTTCGACTGAGTAGACTTTGACTGCACTTGACACTGGCTTTTCCACGACCCATGTGATGATTAGTGTTTCAGGTTTTGCGAAATGCTATGGTGATTTTGAATCTCAGGACTTACACAGGCATGTTAGCCACCGGTTCTTGCGGCGTTTGAATGAAACATATATTGTTTATAATTATAGCATGCTGATATTCATAGTTATGGTTAGCTTACGATTGTGGTGATCACCATAGGCAAGTAATCATCTTGCCTCTCCAACACGTCTATAGTTAGGATGCCGGGCTGGAAAACGTAGACCCCGTGGCACGTTCTGAATGTTTTTCGCTCCGAAATGTGCACGCTCTAGTCAAACAACAGAATAAAGAGATGTTTAATTCAACCCTCGTCATGGTGAAAAGCGATTTCGACCAGTTCCTAGCACCAGGTTTGCTTTGAACGTTCTTGGTACAAATTTTGATCATATTTTCCAAAATATATTGCCAGCCAGAGAGCCCTTAAAGCAGTAAGTTCTACCAAAAAGTTATGCACAAGACGTTTCGCCAATAACCAGAAAAGCGAGCAAAAAAGTAAAATCATCAAACACGGGACACCTAACCTTTTGACCTTTGCGCCTTGCGATTCGTCGGTAACGCGATGGGTTAGAACGGAACCGTTATGCAAGGACAATCTGCCGGTTCTTCACCTCCCATCGACTCTGGTGTTAAAACAAAAATAATGTAGTCATTATAGTGTTAGGAGAAAAGAGCTCCTAGCAAAAAGGCATTTTACTCATCGGAACATTGCAGTATAACTTTCTAAATATTTGTCCCAAACGGATTTTTAAGGGAGCCAATCCGACAAAAGCTTCCTTTAAGGACCACTGTGTGTGTCTCGTGTGTGTCAAAAGAGTGTCTCGAATAGGTACAAGAATGTGGATATAGGTGCAGTATTACCATGCACATAATGAGCAACGACATGGAGATAGAAAAAATGACAAGTGTTAAGCACTTTGTTTTCTTAACGAGTGGTTGTTACATGCCAGAGGGTAGAGGTCTGGGAAGTTTCGTGTTTACCCACGGGGTGGACTTTTATGACACTATAACTGCGTTGCAGCACATCACGTCGACCTGTCGGTCCTCGCACTCACCTCAATCGAAGCTGCCGACATTTTTATGTCCCCGTCTTCTAGCATATGTAATTGCATCAAAACCACTGGGGACCGTCTAGCGCGCGGTCACCACTGTTCAGGCGGGACGTCACGGTCTCTCACGGTGCCACCGGACCACTGTAGCACGTGTCGCGCCGCCGACGGCGCCGGCCGCCAAAAAACCGCCCTTCTGCCGCCGCGAGCAGAATGTCGTCTCCCGCGGCAGGCACCGAGCGCGGGCGGGCGGGCGTTTTTACCGGGCCGGCGGGCCGACTGTCGGCGCACCTGGGAGCGAGCCGCCACGGCGCGGCAGCGGAAGGCGAGGGCGGAGCGCGCGCGCCAGCCGGGCCAGGTGAGCTGTCCGCCGCGCCGTGCCGTGCCGAGGACGCGCCATGCGACTCTGGCGGCCGGCGGCGGCGG